ATTGAATTTAAGAGGAGTTGATCTATAATGATCCCATTATGTACTGGGTTCACTCTAAGATATGCAAAAATAGGCTTTGTACTTAGTGTCACATAAGAGCAGCAAAAGAGCCAGGTGCCTCTGGAAGGTATCCTTATAGCCTCCAAATTGGGCCTCAGAGGATGTCAGTAGCTGCCCTGACATATAAACAGGAAGTGAATGCAATTGAACTTAGGATGTATATACAAAAGACAACCATGATGATAAGAAGTTATATAAACACCCCAACCAAGTGGGATAAGTGAGAGACTCTCACATTCTCATAAAAAAAAAAAAAAAAAAATGATCAGCATTTGAAGAAAGTCTTCAGAACCACACACCGTCATGTTGATATTAATTTTACAAAGTCTAGAAATGAATAAGCAATTTTTTACACTATTTATATTGTTCAGACTGTTGTCCTCATCTTTGTTGCCATATTCATGATATTTTAGCCGTTGTACACTCCGGCCATCTTCAGGTGATTGAAATTTCAAAATGAACCCTTTTTTCGTCCATCAACGTAGATTGTTCTAGTTCCACGTGCCATACCTCTTCCAGATGTCTCAGTTATCTTCCTTTAACTCAACTCTCCAAGGTTTTGTTCACTACTGCAGTCGCCAGGTATTGAACTCACAACTCTTTGGGTGAAGTCACTGGATCCAACCAACACTTTTATCCACTGGGCCACGTGTCCTCAAGAACACATGGTTGATAGATTCCAGAAGCATTTCGTACAGACAATCACTGGTGGTAATGGAATATCCTGCAACTGTATGACTGTTGCAAGGTGTTATACCTGACGTACCTATTCTATTATTAATAGACTCTCCCACACATAATAAGTAGTAGTAGCGGTCGCCAGTTGGGCTCAGTGGTGTTGAGCGAGTCAGTCGATATTGGACATTGAAGTACCAACCATCACAACTAGATTGCTGCGTCATTAACTCTTATTTTCAAGTTCCTAACGTTTTGTACGTCGAACCTAATTTAGGACAACTTATTGAAATACAAGCCTCCACTGTGAAAACTACTCTACAACACGAGGGGAGACAACCAAGCATGTTTTTGATCAAGGGTCATAATCCATCTTCACCACAAAAAAAGTTTGACAAGAGGTCCTGTTGAGTTGTTAAAATAGTTTGTCCAGTCCTTCCAATAAATAATTAACACCATTTCAATTATATTCTTTAAATAACATTTTTTTTTTTTTTAGGAAGCCTCTTTTCTGCCTTAAATTTCCTGATCTTTTCAGTAACACCTTGTATATATATTCACTGACTCCAAGAGACACAGAAATTAAGTGATTAATTAACAGAAAATAACACTTAACTCTGACAATAAAAATCAATAGAAAATCAATTATCAATCACCTCTCAACCTAATCAATAGAAAGCAGCTAGGAGATCAGTATATGATTAGAAAGAGCACTTTTTAAAATGCTGAAAAGTATGCTCTTATTTCAGAATAGGGGGATTGTTTATTGCAGAATAGTTTTTCAGACTTTCTTTCCCTTCAAGATGTAGGTAATCATGGCTCTCCACAACTTCCTATCCTTTTTAGCTACAAGCAATATTTGTCCATTTACTATCCCAGTTTTCCATTTGCACAAGCGCATTAGGTAGGTCACTTGATGTTTGCCTATACTCCTCAATGAGTCCTCTGACTATCAAATTCTCCAAGCACTCTTTCCTCATTCTACCTCATAATTTTTAACTGTTTCTTCTTATTAATTCTAAGTATAAGTGTCTTTTGTGGTACTATTTTCCTTAAAACTTCCTTATTGTTCACATGCTCCATCCATGATATTCTCAGTGTCCTTCTGTAGAATCACATCTCAAGTCACCTCTTCATCTGTGAGGAAATTCTCCATCATTCACTAGGTAGATTTATTGGCCATGGTTAAATGTAATTGGTAGAACTGCCCAACAAATAGAATTTACAAAGTTTACAATAACAAGAGAAATAAAAGAACGGGGCAAAAATAATATTAAGCAAGCAAACAATATATGCAAGGTAAAAAGGAGATATAGACAAGCAATCAATCACAGCATGCATCTGTACTCAGAAACCAACACACTACCATATTGATAGTGGCAAACCAGTTCAACAGTCTTTTCTTTGTTTCTAACAATTTTCCTGTTACTTAATACTTTGTTTTGCTTCTGAAAGGCATCTTTTGCTATTTCACTTATTATTACTATAATTGATGCTTAGTCCTTATTTCTCACTTTCCTTTACTAGCCCATCTTGGTTGGAGTTCCTGCAGTTTTCTTTCCATATCTGCTATCAGCACTAGGTAACCTATGTCTTTTATGTTGTTAAGACTGTGTCCAAAACAATAAATCATGGTATAAGTGAGTTCTCTTACAATTGGCACACTGTACAGCAGATGTTACTTACTGTCATCAGTTTGAGGACAACAGAGAATATCTGATTGATAGAAAAGGAAACTGTCTCTCATACACATGTGAACATTATGAAAATTTAACAAGAATTTGAAAATTAGAATTAACATTTGTTCATCCTGAGGAGTATAAATACAAGATCTTGTATTAAGTTCAATAGATTTATCAAACATCCAGCCCTGTTGAGCATTTCAATGCAAAACTCTTGAGTCTCATAATCAGATGCGTCACTTGAATTTTTCTTGATTTATCAAAAATATTTATCTCTCTCTCACACACACACACATGTATATATGTAAAACTACGACACAGATAACACATTGGTTCATGATAATGACTGCAAAAGTTGAAAGTACTTGAAGTAAAATAAAATATGAACTTCAGAAAGTTTATCCACACAATATTCAATACCTGAAAATTAGAAAAATACAGTAAAAAAAATTAAACAAACACTGTTGGCTCTTTTTAATTAAACTTGTTTGAATGAATACTTGCTGCCTAAGTATACTATATAAGATTAGCATGGCCCCTGTGCAAGGATGACATGCAAATTCATGAAGTGTTATATATTTTTTGCTAGCACAAAGTCACAAGTCATCATGACCGAGGTTCGAGCATGTTGATCTTGTTCACATTGTTGAACACGCTCAATAACACACTCATTCCCAGAAACTGTGACTAAGGTCTGCTCACCATAGTTGCAGTATAAGCCAGAGCAGGCGTTTGCAATAGGGATTGGCTAGACGCCCTAGTAGATGGGTATCCTCCAATATGAGTGGTCAGCCATTCTTTTTATATATATATATATATATATATATATATATATATATATATATATATATATGTGTGTGTGTGTGTGTGTGTGTGCAAAAGACAATAGGAAAACTGTAATATTAGTCAACGCGTTTTTGTCCAATGTAGACTTGAAAGGCAAAAACAAAATGAATTTATTAAACAGAGTAACTAATAATAACAAAACAAAATGTTCTTAGCAACTGGAAGAATTTAGAGAACGCTATATTCATACTGTTAACTGAAAAATTACGTCAAGTACTGTCACATGTGAAGATATTGTTTTTATTGTTGTGTTGATGGATTCAACCATTTTCTTTCGATTTCTTGATACCATTGTGTACGTTTGCTTGGGAGAGTAGTAATTCTGTTAGGAAAAGTGAAATAGGGAAAAAGCTTGGGCGTAGATTAATATTTGGATAATATTCAATGGCAGCACTCTTGAGGATTTTCCTTCTGAGTGAGTTATTTTCTTTTTTTATGAGTGTAGCATTTTTAAAATCAAAATTGTGGTTGAATTTATTTCTATGTATGACAAGTGCCTTAGTTGTTTTTTGTGAGGTCTCTTTTGTAAAAAATCAAGTTTGTCTGATGATTACAAAAGCATGAAACCCAGAGTCACAAACTTATATCCATACAACTTATGTTAGCTCTAACACTGATATTGAGGAACACTTTCCACTATGTACCGCATATAAAATAAATAAATAAATATATATATATATATATATATATATATATATATATATCCCTTTGTCTTTTTTACAGATATATTTTTATTTATATTTGAATTTGAATAATTTATTCATATTATCTTTTTACAGACATTTTATTTATAAATGATTTTTTTTTTTTTTTTTTACACAGCATCTTATAGAATCTTATGACAGTGAATGCTAGACAATTTCTTCACGGGTGAAGACTTGAAGCTACAGAAATGGAGTTCTACAGAAATGGGGTTCTACAGAACGAAGCTGTAAAACCAAGAACTGAACATGTGAGAAAACAAACACTTCTACTTAAAATCCTGAAGAGATAAACTTCTAGGGTACATAGTAAGGAAAGAGGGCTTGGAAAATTTGGTACTCACAAGAGAGGAAGGATAGAGGAAAACAATGTATAACCTATGTAGTGAGCTTGAGTAAATGGATGGCAGAACAAGGTTTAGGGAGATAACAAAAAGACAAAATCTATCAAAGCTACAAATGACTGAAAATTGTGGAGAGCCATGATTGCCAACGTCCTGAAATGACACAGAAAAAGAAACATTGCCTACTTTTGAAGACAATTAACCCTTCTAAACATTTTTTTTTTGACTGCCCTCATATTGAAACTAAAATATTTGAAACTTTTGCAGGGAATCATGTATAAATAATCCATCTAAAATAACTGGGTTAAAAGTCATGTATAAATAGAATATGTAAAATCTATAGAAATAACAGGTTCTTTGAATGACATTTCAAGGTTGGAAATGATGAAAGGTCCTATTGAAAACTCTTCTGGCCATTAACGGAATAAAGAAAACAGGTATAATAAGAAGCAAAAGAAAAAAAAAGTCTATATGCTTCGAGTGAAACAGATAATTAACAATTAGCAGATAATATATTATATCTGAGTGTAGCTGAAGAAATTAATCTATTTCATCTAAAAATTTATCTTACCCAATAGGTAGATAAATAGGTAGGTATTGTAGAATGCTGATCAGACAGACGAGAGAAGAGAAGAAAGTTAAGAGGTGAGTGGATGAATATAGCAAAAGAGGAGATAGAGAGGCTTTTCTCTTTAGAAACAAAAATGAGGAAAAGGGGAAAACAGTGCATGGCAAAGAAAGAAAATAAGAGAGAGAGAGAAAGAGATGGAAAGAATGAGAGAGAGAGAGAAAGAGATGGAAAGAATGAGAGAGAGATGGAAAGAGAGAAAGAGATGGAAAGAGAGAAAGAGATGGAAAGAGAGAAAGAGATGGAAAGAGAGAAAGAGATGGAAAGAGAGAAAGAGATGGAAAGAGAGAAAAAAGGACTAAAGAATGAGAGAGAAAAAAGGACTAAAGAATGAGAGAGAAAAAAGGACTAAAGAATGAGAGAGAAAAAAGGACTAAAGAATGAGAGAGAGAAAAAAAAGAATACAGAAAGAGAGAGAGAGAAATAAGAACTACAGAGAGGGAGAGAAATAGAGAAACGGGCTACAGAGAGAGAGAGAGAGAGAGAGAAACGGGCTACAGAGAGGGAGAGAGAGAGAGAAACGGGCTACAGAGGGAGAGAGAGAAACGGGCTACAGAGAGAGAGGGAGAGACGGAGAGAGGGAGAGACGGAGAGAGAAACGGGCTACAGAGGGGAGAGAGAGAGAAACGGGCTACAGAGAGGGAGAGAGAGAGAGAAACGGACTACAGAGAGAGAGGGAGAGAGAGAAACGGGCTACAGAGAGAGAGGGAGAGACGGAGAGAGGGAGAGACGGAGAGAGAAACGGGCTACAGAGGGAGAGAGAGAGAAACGGGCTACAGAGGCGGATAGAGAGAGAGAAACAGACTATAGAGGCGGATAGAGAGAGAGAGAAACAGACTATAGAGGCGGATAGAGAGAGAGAGAAACAGACTATAGAGGCGGATAGAGAGAGAGAAACGAACTACAGAGAGAGAGAGAGAGAGAGAGAAACGAACTACAGAGAGAGAGAGAGAGAGAAACGAACTACAGAGAGAGAGAGAGAGAGAGAAATGAACTACAGAGAGAGAGAAACGAAGAGAGAGAGAGAGAGAGAAACGAACACAGAGAGAGAGAGAGAGAGAAACGAAACAGAGAGAGAGAGAGAGAAATGAACTACATAGAGAGAGAGAGAGAGAAACGAACCACAGAGAGAGAGAGAGAGAAACGAACTACAGAGAGAGAGAGAGAATGAACTACAGAGAGAGAGAGAAACGAACTACAGAGAGAGAGAGAAATGAACTACAGAGAGAGAGAGAGAAACGAACTACAGAGAGAGAGAGAGAGAAACGAACTACAGAGAGAGAGAAACGAACTACAGAGAGAGAGAGAGAGAGAAACGAACTACAGAGAGAGAGAGAGAGAAACGAACTACAGAGAGAGAGAGAGAGAGAAACGAACTACAGAGAGAGAGAGAGAGAAACGAACTACAGAGAGAGAGAGAAACGAACTACAGAGAGAGAGAGAGAGAAACGAACTACAGAGAGAGAGAGAGAGAAACGAACTACAGAGAGAGAGAGAGAGAGAAACGGACTACAGAGAAGGAGATGGATAAAAACTACAGGGAGAAAGAGAATGGAAGACAGAGAGGGGACCAATTAGAGAAAAATGTACTAAGCTGAAAGAGAAATTGACTAAAGTGAGAGAGAGAGAGAAAAGGACTGAAAAGAAAGATTGAGAAGTTCTAAAGAATGTGAGAGAAAAGGACTAAAGATGAAGACTAAGGAGAGAGAAAAAGAAATCTTTTATAGTAAATAGGTGAAAGTAAGAGGATTAGAAAGATGGAGAAGTAAGAAGAAAGAAAGAGAAATGAGGAAAAGAAAGAAAGAGAAATGAGGAAAAGAAAGAAAGAGAAATGAGGAAAAGAAAGAAAGAGAAATGAGGAAAAGAAAGAAAGAGAAATGAGGAAAAGAAAGAAAGAGAAATGAGGAAAAGAAAGGAAAAAGAAGAACAGAAATAGATGAGGATACAGGAAAGAGAAAAACATATGAGGGAAGAAAAAGGAATGAAAAATTAGATGTAAATAGAACAAGAAATGAAAAAGTTTTGCATGCTTTTTTCTACTTCTTCACAAACTGTTTTCGTTGTTAAACTTAAAATAATATATATATATATATATATATATATATATTAAATAAATCAAAATAAACCAATAAATTTAGCTGATAAGATTTTCACCCACAAAACTTCTAGCTTATCAAGAGGACTTGAACATCCACATTTATAGACTCATGCCTGACTTACCTAAGCTTGGTAAATGTCTCCAATGAACAGAAGCTATTGACAGACTGCTTATTGCTTTTGTATATTGCTCAAGGCTAAATTATTGAGATATCTTCCCTTAATTCTGAATTCTATGGAATTCAGATCTTTGAAAGGTTGGCAAGAATTTTTCTCACCTACTCTTGATATTGGCACACCTACAAAAAGTTTGGGGTTAAGCAGGCAGAGTGAAATACCTTACTGCAAAATACCCTCAGACATTTTTTTTTTTTTTGAGGCTTGAGGTAATTCCCGCCAGAAAAAGAAATGACAGCATACAAAAGTTAAAGAAAAAAAAAAAGTTCATCGTAAGAAATGGACATGATTTTTAATTATTTTTGTTGTCAAAATTGTTCTGGAATTATAGCAATTGAATAAATTCTTTGTGTTGCTATATTTCTGTTTTTAGTACTGATTTTTTACAGGTCATAATCCATATGAAAATAGCTTCCTTTTTGACTGAAGTCCTTTGTCTTGCTTACAGCCAATTCATTCTACAGTCTTTTTCCGGTATTCAATTTGTATAAACAGAAAAACAGTGAACAAAACTGAATGGTGGCTATTCTGTTGGCCACACTTCTGTAGAAATGTTGAAAGGTGAGCATTATTATTGAAAAATTTAAATTCAAATGCAATGTCAGTCATTATTTTCTGTCTTAGTAATCCCTGTCCTTTTATCATTTTCTCTCTCTCTCTCTCTCTCAGTAATGCTTTTGTTTTCTCATCCTTGTGATTAAGTGCCATTATTTCCTTACCTGGGGTGAAATGATTAAAAGAAAAAGAAAAAAGAAGCAAACTTCCAAACGATATGACTCTCTGGGATTGTCTCCTCCAATTGGCATTATCAATAAGCCACATCAGTGACAAATCCACAATAGTGCATTTTGAATGTAAATCTCATGGTTGGAATGTGACATATTACCATCATCTGGCCTAATTTATTTTCAAATTAATAATTTGGAAATAAATTTCCTATAGTGAGATGGGAAAATCACATGGTCTTCAGTGATAATATTATACCAAAACTTCAATCTTTTAATTATAAAAAAAAAAATTTTCTAAAAAATAAAACTTTCCTACCATTTTTAAGGTATATGCTTACTCATATGGTCCTCTGTAGTGAAAATAGCTGATGTACTACATACTATGAAAAATTACCTTGCATCTTTTTTTTTTTTTGCATTGCCTTGTGATGAGTCGTAGATCATGCTGCCAACTGCTTGCAAAAGGTTGCCCATGTCTGTTCTATACTAACAGTTTTTTTTCTCTCACACTTCTCACCTGTGAAACTCTCTTTTGGCCTTTTTCCTCCCCATTGACTTTCGACTTCAAAAATTTAAATTCAGTGGTAATTGTTATCTTCCGTAATGTTATTCTCTCTATCATTAATATTTTTTTTTTTTTATATTTTCTAAAAATCATAAAAATCTTATGTCATAATCCCTTTATTGCCTTGCTTGGGGTGAAATGAAAAAAAAAAAATTTAATTAAATGTTTCTTATTTGCAAACAAGAAAAAAGTATATGAAATTTTGGTATATGGTACTCATCAATGAGAAACAAAAAAAGAGAGAGACGGAGAAGAACTAAAAAGGGGAGAGAGAGAGACGGAGAAGAACTAAAAAGGGGAGAGAGAGAGAGACTGAGAAGAACTAAAAAGGGGAGAGAGAGAGAGAGAAGGACTAAAAAGGAGAGAGAGAGAGAAGGACTAAAAAGGAGAGAGAGAGAGAAGGACTAAAAACGAGAGAGAGAGAGAAGGACTAAAAACGAGAGAGAGAGAGGAAAAAGAGAGAGAGAAGGACTAAAAAACGAGAGAGAAGGACTAAAAGAGAGAAGGACTAAAAAAAGAGAGAGAGAGAGAAGGACTAAAAACGAGAGAGAGAGAGAAGGACTAAAAACGAAAGAGAGAGAAGGACTAAAACGAGAGAGAGAGAGAAGGACTAAAAAGAGAGAGAGAAGGACTAAAAACGAAGAGAGAAGAACTAAAAACGAGAGAGAGAGAGAGAGGACTAAAGAGAGAGAGAGAAGGAAAAAAGAGAGAGAGAGAAGGACTAAAAACGAGAGAGAGAGAAGGACTAAAAACGAGAGAGAGAGAGAAGGACTAAAAACGAGAGAGAGAGAGAAGGACTAAAAACGAGAGAGAGAAGGACTAAAAACGAGAGAGAGAAGGACTAAAAACGAGAGAGAGAAGGACTAAAAACGAGAGAGAGAAGGACTAAAAACGAGAGAGAGAAGGACTAAAAACGAGAGAGAGAAGGACTAAAAACGAGAGAGAAGGACTAAAAAACGAGAGAGAAGGACTAAAACGAGAGAGAAGGACTAAAAACGAGAGAGAGAAGGACTAAAAACGAGAGAGAGAGAGAGAGAGAAGGACTAAAAACGAGAGAGAGAGAGAAGGACTAAAAACGAGAGAGAGAGAGAGAGAGAAGGACTAAAAACGAGAGAGAGAGAGAGAAGGACTAATTTTGGTATATGGTACTCATCAATGAGAAACAAAAAAATGTTTCAGAATTGGAATATATAAAATTTGTTATATGAAATTTAACTATGCCCATTTTGCTTGAGTCAAAAAGACCTTTTTTTTTTAAAATCCAGTTAGAGCGAGATAGGAAGCTTATTTTCTTTTTGTTTATTTTCACATTTTTGACTGAAATTATCACTTTGTGATATTATTCTGGCAAGGACATAAATAAAACATCACAATGTTAATAAACTCACACACTATTCCTTTGATTAATGGTTTTACAATTTATTTACATGTAGCGAATAGGAATGTTTAGTAAGAACATGTGAACCTTAGAAATTTTACATTTTATTTCCAGAGTCTTTTTAGGTTTACAATCTGTATAAAAAGAAAATATTTTAACAGAAAAAACAGCAAACAAAAGAAGAATGGTGGCTAAAATTCTGTTGGCCACATTTCTGTAGAAATGTTGGAATGGAGATATTAGGTCTTTGTGAGCAGAGTCCAAGTGTCCTGTAAGCCTTTATATTATTTGCTTCATGCTATGATGAAGATTATACCAAAAAGGAAGAACACTAATTTTAAACATAAAATAAAACTTTTCAACACAAAGCCTGATCTGCAAAAAAAAAAAAAAAAAAAAAATTTTTTTAAAATGGGATGAGTAACTTGTTAGAAGTTGTATGCTTTTCTGTGAGAAAATTCATAAATACAAATGCATAAATACATTTATATAATATTTCTAGATTAAGCTACACAAAGAATACCCATAAAAAGATTTTCGACAACATTGTGAAAAGATATTTTCATTATATGCATTATCATCAAAAATATAGGTTAAATGCTGAGACTGGTATGTGAAAGAGAGGAAGTGAAAAGTACTAGAGAGAGAGAGAGAGAAGGACTAAAAGGAGAGAGAGAGAGAAGGACTAAGAGAGAGAGGAGAGAGAGAGAAGGACTAAAAGGAGAGAGAGAGAAGGACTAAAAAGGAGAGAGAGAGAAGGACTAAAAAGGAGAGAGAGAGAAGGACTAAAAAGGAGAGAGAGAGAAGGACTAAAAAGGAGAGAGAGAGAGAGAGAGAAGGACTAAAAAGGAGAGAGAGAGAGAGAAGGACTAAAAAGGAGAGAGAGAGAGAGAGAAGGACTAAAAAGGAGAGAGAAAGAGAAGGACTAATAAGAGAGAGAGAATGGGACGAGCAACCTGCTAAAAGTTGTATACTTTTTTGTGAGAAAATGTTTCATGCATTTATATAATATTTCTAGATGAAGGTACAGAAAGATTATCCATAAAAAGTTTCTGACAACATTATGGAAAGATATTTTTCATTCTACATGTTATAAGTATAGAAATGTTTAAATGCAAAGATTACAGAGTTTTTTTTCTTTTTTTAAATCATTTCACCCCAGGCAACACAATAAAGCCACTAAGATACAAGGGGCTGCTGAATGTAAAAGAATATGAGAAAAAACAACATTATTAAGGAGAGATAGCAACAAAAGAACAGAAATTAAAATTAAAATATATCAGATTAAAATTTTAATAGAAATATGTCTAATTTAAAAAAAAAATTAATTAATTTTTTTGTATATGCTACTGTGTGCAGCCATCAGGTGGCTGGTAGTCATTTTTCGGTGATATGGGCATATATAACCCCCTCAGTTAACCACAGATGCTACAATAAGAGTAGTTGGTGAGTACACATAATGTACTCACCAACTAAAATAACTGAAGGGAAAAATACCCATATGGTAAATGATAGAATAGTCATGTATCACTTCAATTGAAGAAGGAAAAAGAAAACTCACAAAAATATAAAATGTATTAGAGTGCAATTAATAGTGCTCAACAATACAGGAACAATTGGACATTGGTAAAAGTGAACATTGAACTGAGTGTTGACTTCAATGTTCACTTTTATATTTACATATGATCTATCTCTGATATTGAGCACTTTATCCCATAAATATAGCACACCATAAAACTATATATATATATATATATATATATATATATAAAAATTTACATCGAGAACTATTTTGTAAAAATAAAAATACCTATAAGAACACCGGATTATATATCTTACTATTCTTTCTTTTTATTTATATACAACAATGAATCATTCATACAAAAAGTAGATCAGTAAAGTTAATGACATAAAATGCACCACATATTATATAATGATATAAATGCACCACATAATAAATAAATATATATATATATATATATATATAAAAGTTTTCAGGCTGTTTCATGCTAGATGCA